AAAAACCATCAGATCTGGTGAGACTTACTACCATGAGAACAGTATGGGAGAAACCGCCCCCACGTTTCAGTGATCTCCCACCAGGTCCCTCCTACAACACATGGGAATTATGGGAGTGCAATTCAAGATGAGACTTGGGTGGGGACACAGAGTCAAACCATATCAGCATCCAACAGGTAATTGTTGAGGTAACAGTTTCTGAGCACGTGCCGGGTGTGATTCTGAGTGCTTGGTTCATCTAATCCTGTGACTATCAGATGGGCACCGACTTTACAGGATGCTTTACAGGATTACTTTAAGCTGAACTTCAGAGGATCTGAGTTTCCTCTTCTGGGAGATAAGGATCATGAAAAGGATAAGTAAAGTAGCCGCAGCTAGGGACACACAGAAATATGGAACTTGAGTTGTATTCTGTCATTGACAGAGAAGCTGAAACAGGGACAGAGTTGACGATTTCTTTCTCAGATACAGTAAGGAGGGTGGGGGATACAGGAATAGGAGATAAGACCTCCAGCCCCATCGGATCCCATAGCATATGAGGCCTTATCATCATAACTCCTATCCTGGCTACAGGTATTTTCTTTCCTTTAAAATTTCTTTTTTTTGCCCGGGCATGGTGGCTCACACCTGTGGGTGGATCACCTGAGGTCAGGAGTTTGAGACTAGCCTGACCAACATGGAGAAACCCCGTCTCTACTAACACACACACACACACACACCCCCTCTTTTTTTTTTGAGATGAAGTCTCCCTCTGTCCCCTAGACTGGCGTGCAGTGACATGATCTTGCCTCACTGCAACCTCTGCCTCCCGGGTTCCAGTGATTCTCCTGCCTCAGCCTCCTGAGTAGCTGGGATTACAGGCGCCCACCACCAAGCCCAGCTAATTTTTGTATTTTTAGTAGAGATGGGGTTTCACCATGTTGGCCAGGCTAGTCTGGAACTCCTGACCTCAAGTGATCCCCCCGCCTCGGCCTCCCAAGGTGTCGGGATTACAGGTGTGAACCACCGCACCTGGCCTGAATCAGACTATTCTAGATTCTTTATGTAACTGAAATCTTACCATACTTGTTTTTTTGTATCTGGCTTGTTTCACTTAGCGTATGTCTTCACGGTTTGTCTGTGTTGTAGCGTGAGTCAGTTTTCTTCCTTTTGTGGCTGTATAGTATTCTGTTGTGTGGTTCTGCCACATTTTGTTTATTCATCGTCTGTTGATGGACACTTGGTTATTTCCACCTTTTGGCTATTATGAATGATGTTGCTGTGAACACTGGTGTACAAGTATCTGTTTGAGTCCCTGCTTTCAATTCTGTTGGGTCTATACCTAGGAGAGGAGTTGTTGGTTATATGGTAACTCCATGTTTAAGTTTCTGGGGAACCACCAGGCTGCCTCACTGTAGTTTGAATTTGCAGTTCTCTCACTAGGCGACTGAGCATCTTGCCACATGGTTGGATTCTTTGGTGTTCTTTTACCACACTCTCTGTGCATGAATCAGGCCCGTGTCAGCGCTGAAATGTTGTGTTTTTCCCTTTTGCCTTTCCCGTTGGACTTTCCTGCTACTTGCTTGGCATAGTAGCTATTCCATCAATTCTTCTCTGTCCGAGAGGGCTGAGAGACGTTTTCTGCCTCTCAGCCAGATCCTCCAGGGAGCTCTGTCTTTCCACTGTCTGTACCTTCCTCTCTGTTCCCCACCCACCACCACCCAGTGTCATCAGAGATACCATTTTATTCATTCATAAGCTCTCTACCGAGTCCCTACTGTTTTTCTGGGACCTCCAGAGAGACCCTTTGTGATACGGGTGATTGGCATGGAGTGGCCATCAACCACAGGTGTCTGTCCACGGATGTACTCCCTGAATTCCAGCGGAACCTGTGACATTTGTCCCGCAGAATTTGTCAAACATGTGAACCAAAGGTTAATGTTCTGTCCCAGAGATGGTAAGATTTGATAGCCTAAGGGGATGTGTTAATCTTTTTTTGGTGGGGGATGAATCTTGTTCTGTCGCCCAGGTTGGAGTGCAGTGGCGCGATCTCGGCTCACTCTGCAACCTCTGCTTCCCGGGTTCAAGTGATTTCCTGTCTCAGCCTCCTGAGTAGCTGGGATTACAGGTGCCTGCCACCATGCCTGGCTAATTTTTGTGTTTTCGGTAGAGATAGGGTTTTACCATGTTGGCCAGGCTGGTCTCGAACTCGTGACCTCAGATGATCCACCCTCGGCCTCCCAAGGTTCTGAGATTACAGGCGTGAGCCCCTGCACCCGGCGTTTTTGTTTTTTCTTTTCTTTTTTTGAGACGGAGTCTCATGTTGTCGCCCAGGTTGGAGTGCAATGGTGTGATCTCAGCTCACTTCACCCTCCGCCTCCTGGGTTCAAGCGATTCTCCTCCCTTAGCCTCCTGAGTAGCTGGGATTACAGGTGTGTGCCACCATGCCTGGCTAATTTTTTTTTTTTTTTTTTTGAGACGGAGTTTCGCTCTTGTTACCCAGGCTGGAGTGCAATGGTGCGATCTCGGCTCACCGCAACCTCCGTCTCCTGGGTTCAGGCAATTCTCCTGCCTCAGCCTCCTGAGTAGCTGGGATTACAGGCACGCGCCACCATGCCCAGCTAATTTTTTGTATATTTAGTAGAGACGGGGTTTCACCATGTTGACCAGGATGGTCTCGATCTCTTGACCTCGTGATCCACCCGCCTCGGCCTCCCAAAGTGCTGGGATTACAGGCTTGAGCCACCGTGCCCGGCCTGCCTGGCTAATTTTTGTATTTTTAGTAGAGATGGAGTTTTACCATGTTGATCAGCTGGTCTCAAACTCCTGACCTTGTGATCCACCCACCTCGGTCTCCGAAAGTGCTGAGATGACAAGCGTGAGCCATTGCACCCTGCCTTTTTTAAAAAAAATTGAGGGCCGGGCGCGGTGGCTCAAGCCTGTAATCCCAGTACTTAGGGAGGCCGAGGTGGGTGGATCACGAGGTCAAGAGATCGAAACTATCCTGGTCAACATGGTGAAACCCCGTCTCTACTAAAAATACAAAAAATTAGCTGGGCATGGTGGCGCATGCCTGTAATCCCAGCTACTCAGGAGGCTGAGGCAGGAGAATTGCCTGAACCCAGGAGGCGGAGGTTGCGGTGAGCCGAGATCGCGCCATTGCACTCCAGCCTGGGCAACAAGAGCGAAACTCCGTCTCAAAAAAAAAAAAAAAAAAG